TAGGAATTGACCAATTAGTCTTCCTTATGGCTCGGGGAGACTAGATAGTAAAAGTCCATTATCGTCTATATATATATATATATATATTATTTATTTGCATAGTAAATGTATAATAATAATATATATATAAATGTATTGTTGTTGATGAGACTCATGAATGCAAAATCCCTCCATAAAATATTAAGTCACATTTGTAATCGCCTTCCATCATTATAGTGAAAAATCAGAGTCCCAAATCGTCTCAACTTGTTGAGTACACTTAAGGCTGGTCCATTAGGGATATGTTTGACACTATGAAATATTTGATATTTCTTAATGATGGGTTTGACTTAACTAAAATTTATCTTTTGTTGAGTACACTCAAGGAGATAAATTTTAGAGGCATGTTAAGCTAACACATAAGATGTGTGAAAACAAAGAGTTGTCAGCTTAATGATCTGGGAGTCGTATGGAGATACAATTGATAACAGTATCTACCCAAATATTATATTAGGGCTTGTTAAGTACACTCAAGGTCTTAATATAATAGATGGGATCCCAGCCCACTGGGAGTCAAGCATGGACTCCATAAATTTATGTGAGAGGGTCATAAATTTTATTTAAATAGTGGGAGCATAATTAATTTAATAAAAGTCCATGTTAAATTAATTAATGCATTTTATATATTTTATTTTTTCTTTTTTGTCATTTACATTTATATTGAATCTGAGTAACCATATGTTTTGAATGGCATAATAGATGCCAACAACCAAACTATATTTTCTTAATTGACACTGCAATTTGAGAATTGTTCTTATGCATGAGAAAATTGGTCACGTCCTTGGGTAGCCCTTTCCAGAGACACCTGCTGATGACTCGATTAAAGAAGAGGTGGCTACTATAGTAAATGCAGTGATGATAATAGTACTGCAACGTATGTGATACTTGCAACTATGTCATTGAGTTACAAAAGCAACTTGAGAGTATAGATATTAACACATAATTCTTCATTACAAAGAGTTGTATGATAATAATCATGTGTGGAAGAATATAAGACTTCCAAAACAACTATACCGGTGCAAAATGACAGAGTAATCTTCAATCGATGTTTAGACACTGAAGATGATCGACGTTGAGAAATGTCTCAATTGAGTTCAATTACAAATCATGAACTAAGTAGTGACTTATTTTTGCAATCTCTGTCAGAGAAAGCTATTCACAACTAATTATGAATTTAACATGAATGAGCTCGAATGCAGAAATATTGAGTTGCTTAACATACTTAGGACTGTTAACCCCTTTATCAAAGTTGGTAGTGGGCAAACCATTGATTCCTTTGAAAATATTAAGAGGAAGTCTAAAGGGGCTTTGTGAAAACACCCAATATGGTTAAGACAGTATAAGCGAAAGGACAAATACCAAATCTAATGATCCTTGGTTTCATTATAGAATGAAAGGTCATTGGAAGGAATATTGTATGGCTTACGTCTACTTCACGAGTTTCTTAGGTATATGATACCAGGTGTAAATATCGTATTTATACAAATATGGAGAAACTAAAAAGAAGTAGACCACTGCGAAAGGGAGAAGTTGACATACACGTTGGATATGAGCAAAGGTTGCTACATTACTTGTATGAATATACTTCTTACCATTGCCTTTTGGTTTAGTATTGAAATGTCGTTTTATGCCAACTATAGCTGGAACATTAAAAT